TAAAAATGTGTTATGACCTATCTAACATATAACGAACAGAAAATAAAACAGATCATCGAGTGTGTTTAAAAGCTCATAAAGTGAAAGCGAATATAATGTTGTATAGCTAACCTCTTATCAATTGTCAGATCTGCATTAAATTTATAAATAGTTTAAGTGTCAATTTAATTTAGTAAACATATTCTATAAGTAGAACTTTCTTACTATTAAAGTGATTACCAGGATCAGTTTTCACAACAAATTACTGTTTGTTGGCAACCCTTTTTACAAGAAACGATAAAGCAACAAACAATTAAATTTGGACCAATGTTGCTGTGATTAATAAAAAAAGTTTAAGGAATTTCCTTAACGCTTTCGACTTTCTTTAATAAGTCAATTTTTTATATATATTTATTTCAACTTTTCTCTTTTGCGTTATGTGGAATAAATTTGTATTTTTATGTGTCAGTTTTAAGTGCTCTTCAACTATTTCCTTTAAAACATTCACGTCATCGTCCAATTTGTGGTCCAACTGGCTGACTGCACACTTAAAGTCCGGCACCAGTAAATTTTTATCTGTTTGATTTAATTTTTTTTCCATTTAATGTCAAGTATACGCAGCGTAAGCTGCTGTGTAATTTTTGTTGCTATATTTGTAAAGTCCTGCTGTGGGATGTGTGACAGTAATATAATTGTAAAATATCCACTTAGCTTTTACTATATTTTCTGGTTTTATTGTTGTCATTTTTTTTTCGATTTGCTGCTTGCTACTCATATGTTATTATCATGTTTGTTTTTGTTTTATTCGTTTTTATGTCAATAAATAAGCGCGCATACTAAAAGAGAAACAATATGCATTGATAGCCACAACAATAATAACAACAATAATAATGACAACAACAATGAAAGTAGTGCTAAATAGAACAGCAAAGCTATGACAAAAACAAAAACAAAAACAATAACAACATCAACAGTGGTTAAGCTTTCTATAAATATGTGTATAATTGAGTGTTAGTTGCTTGCCACCGTTTTTCAATGCACACAAGATGCTAACGTATGATTCTGTTTAGACGATTTACTATTGTATATGTGTGTGTGTATGCTTTATTTTCAATTTCTAAGCCGTGCCCACAGTAACTCAGGCGATTTCTAATGTTTGTTGTTTATGCTTAGCATCGTGCTTTCTTGTTTTCATC